AATGCCGCTGGTGCATAAGTGGTGAAAGCATACGACGTCGAAGCCTCAACGATCGACCATGAATCATCGAGCGTCCCGCGAGAAAATGAAACGATAGCATTGTCAACGGTATTGTTACACTCGAGGTGGTTCGCGGTTCTTTCACAGGTTATGACGTTCTACATTCGATCGGTCGAGGTCCCTCCGAGATTACTACATTCGCGGTTGGCGAGGCACGAACAGACAACATGGCGTTCAAGACCTCGCTTTGCAAGTTATTTATCGTGTCTATACATCTTTTCGGTTCTTTCGTCCGCAATTTCTCCCTCTCGACTCTCGTGTTACAACCCGTTCCAATTTTATCCCTTAAACCCGGTTCGAGTTGCTAAAATTACCTACAATCGCTCGGGAAAGTATTCACACGCACGTAGAAACCTTTTAAGAGTATGTTATGCGCGGATTTTCCAAAATTTCGCCAACGTTAGTGAAATTTGAAAGAAACCTGAAAATAATACGCGAAAGTTACAAAATATCTACTTGGAAAATATTTTCAAAATGTTAATTTTATGAGAGAAAATGTCGCGGAACTGTATAATTACCCAGAACGGTAGTTTCGTTAGTTTTCAAAATCTATTTCTGTCTCTTGCTCTTAGTAATCCAGTCCAGTCATAACGCGATCTCGTATAATACGTCGTCTTTTTTATGCACGTAACTGCCATGTTATACGGGTGATAATTTGCCAGCAAAATCGTATCAGTCATGAATCTAATATGTAACCGTAAGTATTTGTGTCGAACATGCGATGACAAACACAGCGTTACGAGCGTGCAGATATAACCAAAGCAGACGAAAATAGACCGTTGCTATCGATTCTTGGAAATTTGTTTGTCGAGGTGACCAGGATTTGACCCAACACGCCGTAACTTCAGAATCTATATAGAACGATAGACTATAGTCGTAACGAACACGTATTTATCGCAATTTCAGACGACGAGAAACGTCAAAAGCGGTGCAATGGTGGATCACCGGCTTATTTCGATCAAACGATAACCAAGAAACAATGTCGCCAAAGTACGATACTCGCGCGAAACGCGACATTATCCGCGATCGCTATAAACCTCGAGTGATTCGAAGCTGGAGGACGGCGGTCACTTTTATAGCGAAGCATCCCCCATCTGCAAGAACTGGTTAACTTTTAACGACGCCAGTCGAGAGTCTCGAAAATCCTGTCTGGTGCCGTAATCCGAAAGTCTTTGCACGATATCTGTCGGGAGGCCAAGGCCTTCCGGATTTGGGCGTTGCTAGGCTCACGGCTATCGGCGATCTCGTATCGGACCATTTCTTATACCGATTCGACCTCCGACGATCGACCCGTTCTCTACGCCAACCAAAACCTAATGGACGAGTGTCGTCGGCGAAGGTCGAAACAAGTATCAAAGATGAAAAAAAGCGTAAGCTCGTGGAGGACGAACTTTGTCGGATGGCGTTCACCAGAGTAAAGAGACGTTTACGAAACGCGACCTTGCTACGAAATACGCGGTCGGCGGACAATCGTTGACAAATGAAAAAGATTGATGAGAGCGAAGGAGAGGGAGGGAGAGAGAGAGAGAGAGAGAAAGAGAGGAAAAGGAAGGAAAGATTTAGATGAGGTGAACTGGTTCCGGGAAGAAGCAAACGCCAGGCGAATTACGAGAACACATGCATGGATTTTGTGGAATCGAGTTGATCGTCGTTGGTTTCGCAAACGGTGTCACATCCCCGCTTCTTTCGTCTCTAGCCTGGTGTAAGAGACCTTCTAAACGACGC